ATGGGTAACTACTTTGGACTCATTTCTATGGTAACAAAAAGTAATTGTCATTAAATACCAGTTATACTGAGGCTGTACCTGGTAATTATAGATTTTTATGCTCAGAAACATAAATAAAACCAATAAATTTATTCAAAGGTCTATGACTGTTTACTTATATGTGGCTCCATGGAATACACAATGACAAGCACCTAATTAAGAAATGCAAACCCAACATAGAGTTTCATATTGTCAGATGAAGATGGAAAGTCTGTTTTTCAGTTGCAAAGGCAACTTGTGCATTACAAATGCTCAGAACACACAGTGGGGTACAGGAGGCAGTGGGGCCTGTCTTCCTGCCCAGGGGGAATTAGCTGAGAGCGCACACAAAGGCTGCACCATGTGTTCTTGTCCTTGCCCACTGCAAGGCATTGTAAATTGTTAATCCATTCTGAACTGATTCAGGCCATCTCTCCAATATCCCAGTGAACTTCCTTAGGGGTTGCCTTTTCACTTCTCAGCTCTACAGTACTAGAAGTTATCTTATCTCATCCCTTAAAACCTTAGGTTGGGGCTGGGAAGATAGCTCAGTAGAATAAGTGCTTGCCTTGCAAGTGCAAGGGCCTGAGTTCAATCCCCAGTTCCAGAAAAAACAAAACAAAACAAAACAAAAAAAAACCCTTAAGTCTCAGGTCTCTCCAGGAGTCTTCAAAACAGGTGTACAGGGTCTCACTACTAGATCAGACTCATAGTGATCCATCTGTTTACAACCTCCCAAGAGCTGGGATTACAAGCACACGCCACCACACCCAGTCTCAATTGTCTCAGTGCGCCTCAGGGGTGGGGCCTGCATGGCAGCCCTGGGCATCAAACCCCTGACCTCTGCACCTTCTTGCAGGCACTTTAATCTGCTGATCTATTTGGTTGGCCCTTCTTTTCTTTTTAAATGTGATAAAATACAATGTAACACAATATTTACCATCTTAACCATTTTTAAGCATATAGTTCAGTAATGTTAAATAGAGCCATAATATGGCAGCACAATCACCACATTACATACAGCTCCGAAACTATACCTATTAACCTCAAACTTGTTAAACAATACCTCCCTATTGTTCTCTCCCTTCTGCAGTCTCTGGTACCCTATCTTTCTGTCCCACTTTCTATCTAAGTGAACACGACTTATTTAAGTACGTCACATAAGTGGAATCTATAGTATTTGTCTTTTTGTGGCTGGCTTTTTTCACTTAGCAAGGATCTTCAAGGTTCACTCATGTCGTGGCCATACTGTTCTTGGAAAGCCTCTTCCTAGAGCTTTCATCACATTGTATTCTTCGAAGAGGACAGTGTGTAGCAGGGTAGAGTCCCTAGAGGTAACTCATGGCCTTAAATGTGGCATGTCACTTTTTGGGCTCAGTTTCTCCTTTGTTCAAATGGATATAATAAACTTGCTTTCTCTTCTCAAAGAGCTGTTGCCATGATCAAATGTGGCCTTAAAGGATCTTTAACAGTATAAACCTTAAACAGTACAAAGTATGGCTGAGTCTGTTAGTCTGAGTCCATAGTCTGTTGAGTCACGAAGTCAGCTCATTGTGTTAGGTCACAGAAGTATTTACGCTGCACCAGCATATAACTGACATTATTGGTTTGGAAGCCTTGTAAGTGAAGATAAAGGGCTGGATGCCGACTGCATCTGGGAATAGTTCCTGCTCTCTGAGGATTGTAACTTTGTGCCATCACATAGCCATTTATTCATTTAGAAACTAGGACCTGCAGGAAGAGTGCAGGACAGCAGGGAGGAATAGGGGCTCACTCAGACAGACCTATATCTGTGCCCACTTCTCACAGAGCACAGGCCTAAGGCAGATTTATTAACTTTTATGGGGGACTGTGCATCAGGAGGGAGTTGTTGGACAATGAAAGGAGGTGCAGGGTGCGACCTAGAGGCAGAGATATGGCCACCCGCCTTCTGACCTGTGCCCAGTCACTTGGTCTGTCCCCATGAGGTCTGGCTTTGTTTGCTGCCCTAGAACTTAAAAAAGCATTTAAGAAACGTCCTTCCTTTCTTCTCCCTTTCCCTCCTTCCTTCCCTTCCCTTCTTTTCTTTATTCCCAGAAATTTCCTTCCTCTAGTCAGAACAGTCTGAATAGGTATTTCTTGTTTACAAGCAGAGAAACCCTCGCAAAACCCCTCCTTCACAGTAGTCCTGAAGGTTAAATGAAATGTGTACAAGTGCTGGAGAGGCTGAGAGCAGAATTCTTGAAGTGCCATTTTTTGCAATGTGTTTTATAACTCTAACATGGAGGTTGGGTTGTGCGGGCCAAGGCACTTACCTTTGAGAAATACTAAGTATTATGTTCTCCTCTTGGGATTCCTTGTGTTTGCCAGCATGTTCAAAACTCTGAGAAGTCTTATAGTACAAAAAATTAATTTCATGTTATGTTTTATGTCTGGATGCCCCCAAAGCCTCCTGTGGTCATGAGGGGTAGGCTTTTTGGAGGTGGCTGAATCTAAAGTTTGCAATTGTTTTATTGTCTACTTCTGGGATTGGCAGTGTGAGTGCTACATCCTCTGTATGGTGAATAGCCTGCATATAATGTAAAGGAGGAGAAAATTAATTTTTCTCCCCCTTTGCTCTTATTGCTTTTGCTCTCTTCCCATACCAAGAACAATTGCCCCTCAGCTATACCACTCTGCCTTGGAGCCAGCTAAGTATGGACTGAAACTTCCACAAACTGTGAGCTAAATAAACCTTTCCTCCTTAACTTTGGATGTTGGGTATTTTGTCTCAGCAATCAAAGAAAAGTAACCAAGACACCTCACTTAACTTGGAATTTTTCAAACTTATTTGAACTCTGAATTATTTCCCCCACATAATGCCTTAGTGAAGTCTCACCAAATCCTGGAAACTTAGAAATACTGCTGTAGAGAACAACAAAACTTTAAGAAGAGCTGATCTGCAGGACTTCTAGGGCACCTTGAAGCTCTGAATTCTGAGTCTTTATTATTATTTTTCACATTCTCCAAAGCTGAAGTAGTGAATTCTCATGATTGATAGGTTTTTGTTGCTCCTTAGGGCTGTTTTAGCAACAAAATGTAATGCCTATAGTTAGAGATTTTCTTCAACTCTCATAATGAGAAAGAATCACATACTATCCCTAGGAAAGTGCTGGGGGTAGAAACTGCATGATGAAAGCTTTTTTGAGGATCAGAGCTCTTTAACTTCAAGCCCCCAAATCACAAAATCTGGAGTTTTAAAGACATGTAGAAAGCACTTACTCCCCAGTTGTCATCCCATTGGTCATCTGAAGCCCAAAGATAGAAGGCAGTTTGGTCAAGATTACAGACCCTTCTGCAGCTAGCTCTTCTCTGGACAGCAGATGATAACATAAGTGTGTACAGTGATAGTACTGACCTCTCCCTGACCACCGCCACTCAAAATTAAATAGAAATGTTACCATAAATCAAATCAAATGGTCTTTCTACTTCCCTATCACTAACAGTGTCTTCTGTCTAGGGAAGGCGGAAAGGCTTTGCTCTCAGGCCTAAAACAAGCCATAAACTTGCAAATGCTAACGAACCATCACTTTAGCCAATTAAGAGAGGAAGCAAAATTGTCTTTAATGAAGGCTTCATGCATCCCATGGGTTCTCTCTAATTCATACCCAGGGGTACTACACAGTCCCTCTAGACCTAATTTGCACATTTGGAAATCAGTAATCCAACACTTTGTAAAATGGGACTGACTGGGCATCACAAAATTTGGTTCTGGCATGAGATCATCCAAGGACCTGGAGCAATTCCCATCACATCTCTAGGCCTCTGTGTCTTCATCAGTAAAGCCATCATTTTGATTCATTTATAATTATCAAACACTTTCTGAGCATCTATTATGTGTTGATTCCTGTTATTAGACAGTAAGGGTATTGAGACCATTAAAGTTTGGCCTCAACCCTTTGGTAGCTTGAATTACATCATAATGGGATGACTTGTTCAATAATCCAACCTTTAGGGAATTCAGAGAAGCGAGTGGCCCATTCTTCTTGGGATTTCAGGGAATGAGATAGGATATAAGCTGAGTTTCAAGGGAGCTAGTCAGGACAGAGGGATGAAAAGGTTCTGGACAGAGGGGCTGTTGTGTAAAGGTAAGAGAGTATGTGCCAATACTTGGGGCACTGTAGATGGTGACAGTCTTAGGAGGGGACATGGAGATTGAAGGTGGAATACTGCACATATAGTTTCTGGGTCTTACAAAGCTTTACATATAAATCTGGGCAGTTTGGATATTAACCTGAAAGTTGTGGGATTAATCAGCTCTAATCTATGTAATATTTGAGTAGTGGAGTTAGTTATGATCTGCTGTCTATGTGACTTTGGGCAAGTCAGTGGCCCCAAGGGTGAAATAAAGATATGGCACTATATACCTCAAAGTATTCAATGTTCCTTTGACAGAGGATCACCTGGGCAGTGGGGTTTCAGGCTATAAGTGATGGTGTAAATATAGGAGAAAAAACACTTACGATACGAGTACATGGCCCACACCAAGGGGCCATGTTCATATGATTTTATGATCTGAGTGCAATGCTCCATGATTAATAATCTACAAGGAGGCACACAGCAGGAAAGCAGTGGTCATTCTAACTGCCACATGTGATTCTGCAAAACACATTACTGTCACCATTTCCTTAGATGCTCCCAATTGTCCTGCCAGACAGTTGTTGTCTTCATGACGCAAGAGAAACTGAGCATCCAAGAAGGAAAGTGATTTCCTCAAATTTACATAGAAAGTAGGTATTAAAACTTACACTAGTTGTCCTGATTCCTGGTCTAGAAAGATCCAAAAAACTCCAGGAAGTGAATACAGGTGGCTGTGCATTAAACAGCCAACTCCCGTTAGTACATTCTTAAGAGGTAGAGTATAGCTACCTTTAATTAACTCATGAATAACCTGAAAGTCTTTCTCGAAATTTTTCCCACATTTATTTCATGCTTCCATACCAACATTCTCTTCAGTTCCTCACCTGTAATTGCCCAAGTAGACCCCATCGGGGTTGAGCATTGGAGCAATCTTGAAGACCAGGTGTTCTCGTAGGATACAGGCAATGGGGTGGTGGCTTACAAGGAAGTCAATGATTCCTAGGGAAGGAGAAGCATATGGGTTAATCCTGAAGTGTTTCAAGGAAACAAAGAACATATTTTTCTCAGCCTGGGAAATGGTAAGCTTCAATTACCACTTCCCAATACTACATTCAGTGGGTGGTTTTTAGCCTGTGTTGTTACTAGCCATTGTAGTTAGGTGGCTATGGACTAGGTATTCCCAAGTGAATTTTATATAACTATTTCCAAGAGACACATAGCTCAAGATATAACACAAAGACTAGGAACAGATAGGAAGAGAGCATTTTCCTTCAGAGACAACAGGGGAGGTTTCCAAGAAAATTTGGCATTTGAGGTGTGCTTTGGAGGACATGCATGACAGCTATGTTTTCTGGAATGTGCTCTTAACACTGCAACCAAAGGGCTCTTCCTAAAGTGAAAATATGCCATATCATTCCCCCTCTGGTATTCTTCTGGTGATGGCCTACACATATCTATAGGAGAAGAGGTGAGAAAATCACCATTGTTGAACCTTGTTCCTTTCCTCTTCTTGTTTCCACTTCTTCCTTGGAGATACACAAAAAAGGATCACATAGTGCCCTGGAAGTCCATGAAATTAGTCTAATACTAGAAAATGATGGGAGAGGGAAAGCCCTCCCAAAATGCAGAGAGGTTCTGATTTCTTCAAGATAGCTCAGGAATGGCCTGGAGAGAAAAGCCTTTGAGCTGGGCCTTGACAGGGAGGCCTGACAGACAGGCAGAAGGTAGCAGTGTGACTAAGAACAATGCATGGGCCCAGGGTTCGGCATTTAGCTCTTGGAATAATAAATCACACTAGAGCACATTCCAAAACTGCTGTGTCCAGTGAGGGACATCTCAAGCTTTTCATTATGCCAGGCTTGAGAATCCATCAGCAGCTGAGACCCAGTTGGATGTCATTTACTTCTCAGCTGATGCTGTGGTGGACCAGATGCCCCAATTTATTTGTTGGTCCTCATATTAAAGTTGCAGTTTGCCAGTAAACAGGCAGAGTAATAATGCCAGGAGCCCTCGTTAGGGTCTAATAATTGCTTGTGTCCACTAATTGACCCCAGCTCCTGGGGAGGTGGCCCTCCATCAAAGAGCCAGCTTATGCTTAAGGCCTGGCCACGCTGCCTTACAGAATGGCTTCTGGAAGCAGAATAATGCATTGTGATCCATCCTCCTTCACAGATGAGCAGATTAATTGGGCTGCCAATTAGGCAGCTAATAAAAGAATTAGGAAACAAAGCCAGACCAGAGGCTACAGTTGTCCAGATCTTCCTCTCCCAGGTAGATGTGGGGCAAGGAGACGGGAGGTTTTAGAGTTAATCTTTCAGCTTGCGGTCAGACACAATTCAACAAGAATCATTCCCAATGATCAAGACCTTGGAGAATATCTTGATTTTTTTATTTGTTGGTTTGTTTCTTTTCTTTTCCTTTTTGGTGGTAAGGGAGGTGCTAAGTAGAGAAGAATATGAAGAATGTGAGAGAAAGTAAGAAAGGAGGGGAAATGTTATTGCTGGCTATGAGTCAAAAGCATTGCATGGAACAGGAAAGCAGAGGGATCTAGAGAACAAAAACACTTCGGGGTGTGTATTTGAGCCTTAACTATTTATTAGCTGGAGAAATTGTAAGAACTCTCTGACCAGTTTATCATCTTGACACAAGGACAATGGTACTAACCAGAAGACTACTGTGTGACTGGGACAGAGCTCTTACACACTGCCTCCCTGACACAACTACCTAAACACCATGATGCACTTTTCTCAGAACAAAGGTTGAAAGGCAGTGGGGCAGTAAAAGCATCAGTAGCTTTGGAAGTAGAAGGCTTGAAGGCCTGACCTCTGAGGTTTGCTAACTATGCAACTTGTGGATAAAGACACTGGAGAAGTCAACAAATCCAGAAAACCTGAGTCTCAGTTTGAGTTCAGTTGCTTAGTAGGTGCAGAAAGCCTCTGCCCATAGTCTCTTTAAAATTAGGAGAAAGAATGGCAGAATGAATACAGGCAGAATAATATAGCTTCCTTGGGACCTTGAATCAAGAAACCTGAAAACCACAACTTGGTGAAGAAAAAAAACAGAATTGAAGAAGTAAATCTCTGAGAATCATCAGGGCACTAATAGGCAAACTAGAAACTACAGAGAACTTTGAGGAATGGAACACAGCCAAAAATACAAAGTAGCCTGGAAAGTTATCCCTAGTTCCTAGGGGATGAGATCTGTCACCATCAACAGAAGGTAAGCCCAGAGACATTTTTCAGCTCCAGGGAGAAATAATAGCTCAGGCCAACTATACTAGCTCTTCAAAATGCCCATGATTATAGTAAATTATAGAAACAACATGGTGCTTAAGTTTGAAAATAATGCCTTCTGCATGACAAGTTAGAACTGGAGAAGAAATCCAGTGCAGCACCTGCTATACTTGAGACTGTTATTCAGGAGCCATTTGTGGAGGGGTTTAAGCAAGACTGAGCTACAGAACAACTACACTGCAACATTTCTTGGGTCACACTGTACCAAAGTGACTGGGATGGGACATGGCCACAAGTTAACTGAAGAGAGGTCATAGGCTAGGCATAGAAGCTTAAGGTTAGGCTGGGAAGGACACAGGATGCTTACTCTCTATAATGGGAAACCAGGCTGGCTGTGTGTGCCCTTCAGAAGGGTTTCAAAGGGCTGGCATCAAGTCTAGTAGATGGCATGGCCCCTCTTTCTTAATAACCAACATAGAGCTCAGTGGTATGTTTGCTTTCTCCATCTGCTAATGTGAACAGGATTATGACTCAGCTTGGACAGTTGCCATAGCCGAGGGTGAACAGACAGAGGGGCCAGTGATGGTGTTGGAGCTCACAAATGTACTTCCCATACAGCGAGTTGAAGAAAATCATGACTTTGGGGACACAGAGAGACATGGAAACTGCAAGTAATTGCCAGCAATGTAGTCCTTTGTTGAACACCAGTGACCAACCATTCCCAGCAGGAAAGGCAGTACAGAATTCAGTGTGCATATACAAAAATGTGAGAGTGGAAACAAAATAGTCTTGCTAATGACACACCATTCCTTGCCTGTATCTGGTGGATTCCAATACTTCAGAACCTAGAAAGAACCAGGCATTCAAAAACATGGAAGAAGTTTTTTAGACTCATATTTCTTTTTCTTCATTTTTTTGGTGGAGAGACTTTTGCTACTTTTTTGTTTTTCCTTTATTTTCTTTTTCCCTTTTATTGATTGTTCCTTTCTGTTACTTTTATCTAATTCTAATTTTCTGTTACTCCTTCATACAGTGCTTTGTGTCACTTTTTTCTCTTCCTTCTCATTTTATTTTTCTTTATAGTTACTTTTTAAATTAATTAATTAATATATTTATTTAGTACAGGGTCTTGCTATGCAGCTTGAACTCATAGTGATCCTCCTGTCTCAGCCTTTCCAGTGCTAGGATTACAGAGGTGCACTACCATGCGTGGTTTCGTTGGCCTGCACAGTGCACCCAAGGTTCTGAGGCCAGCACAGCATGTCATAGTGGGGATTGAACCTGTGTCCTTGCACTTTCCAGGCAGGCACTTAGGCCCCCAAGCTATCTCCTCAGCCCTCTTTTTCTTTATTTTTCAAATTTTACTTATTTCCTTTTTCCATTTCCCATCTCCACAAGTCTTACTTGTATTAAGTTTTATTAATCTTTAGATACTTAGTTGATTCTGTGTATCTATCATTGAGATTTTTTTATTGTTAATGATGGTATAATCACTAATTTCTTAGTTATGTGCTATTAGTCAGTATATGGTTAATCTTTGTGTCCATATAATAACTATAAATTTCTTTTCTATTGTTAAGGGTGGTATACTGGTAGCTTTTATTGGTTCTTAAGGTATGTAAGTATCCACTTTGTCTTTGAATCTGTTATTACTGCTGATTTTATTGCTATTTCCAGGGCAGCAAAGTTTTGCTATTAATTAGTTTTTATTGTATTTCTAAATCTGGTCTATCTTTACATCCTCAACAATACTGAAGTTCATTTCCAGAGAACTGGGTGCTAGGCCTCCCCTCTCCATGTTAACAGAGTTGTTTGGATCCTATGATAGAGTACAAGGCCTATAGTTAGCCATGCCGGGAGCATGTCAATGGAAAGGAGGCACTAACAGAAGAGTTCTCCATACTAGCAACAAAATCTTTCCTCTATAATCAACCTAAAATCCTCAGTGCATGTACACAAGCAGAGAGAGAGAGAGAGAGAGAGAGAGAGAGAGAGAGAGAGAGAGAGAATGAGAAACAATAGAAACATGAGAAAACAGGAAAAATGCCTATTAAAAACTTCTGACTTCCTCAAAGTGGGTCCATTGGTCATTTATGGGAAAGAAATTGAAAGGCAAACAGCTGAATTACACAAAATGGTAAAGAGGAGACAAAAAACCAAACCAAACCAAAAGGGAAAAAAAAAAAAACAAAAAACACAAACAGCTCAGTAAGTTGCCTGGTAGCTCCAAGAATGATATAATTAAATAGATAATGGACTTAATAAACAAAACCAACAGTCATCTCTAGAAGGCACTAATTAAAAGCAAGCTGAACTAAATAAAATGATACAATGTGTGAATGTCAATTTAGCAAAAAATGTTTTTATTAAACATAAGAACTAATGCCAACACTCTTCAAACTCTTTAATGAAATTGAAAGGGAAGGAATATTACCAAACTCATTCCTAGAAACTAACATTACTTTGATTCCAAAATCAGATAAGGAGTTACGAGAAAGAAAACTACAGGTCAGTCTCTTCATTGAACATACATTCAAGGATCATCAACAAGATATTAGCAAACAGAATGCAAAAAATCAGTAAAAAAAACCATACATATGACCAAGTAGGCTCTATCCTAGGGATATAAAGATGCCCCAACATATGAAAATCAATAATACATCATATATGTAGAAGCAAAGACAAAAATCATGATCTCAAAAAAACTTTTTTTTGAGATACAAAACCTTTTTTTTTTTTTTTTGAGAACCCACAGAAAACAACCTT